AATCCAGAAGCGACGTCGTTTGAGTCCCGTATGGGACTGGTTGACATGGACCGGGTCCTTTGCATGATTGGGCCTGATTTTTGTTTTAAAAAAAATCTTTGGCCCATGTCCGTTTTTTTATCATTTCCCATTCTTTTATTTTCTAATTAAATTCCTAAAAATTATAAAAATAAAATTACCCTTACAAAGATAAATTACCTATTAATACATAGACAACACATTAATCACACATTGAAATATTAAAACTAGAACAGACACATATTTTTGTGATTTTATTTTTTGAATCAATTATTAAATGCATAATCAAATCCTAGATATGCATGCAACATATATTTTTATTTTTATTTTCATTTTGTTATGACANGCACAGTAAAAGAAATTTAATTTATTTTTTGATTTATTTTGGAGTAGTTTTTCGTAAGGCAAAAATCACGTTCTCACAAGCGTATATATATATATGGGATATGGGAAAAGGTTACAGCGTTATATATGCACCACCACCTGATCAGCTGGTATATGTTGATGATGTTGTCCACAGTGACCGAGACGATATGATGAGATGCCCTCAGTGGCTTGATGATATTATGTACACTTATACCTATGCATGGCACGACATTTATACGCACGTGCATGACATTATAAATGTTACAGAATTTACAAAGTTATTCAGATTTAAAGATGTGTTTCCTTATTCCATGTTTCATCTATGTCTTTTACGTACTAATTTTTACGTCTTACATACTTAGTACATTTTTTGTACTGACGCCCTATTTCACGGGGCCTGCATTCCATACCTGTAGGTGTAGGTAGGCAAGCTGATGGACCCCCTCCTTAGGATCCCTGATCAGCGAGAATTGGCGTGCTTCACTTGATCCAGAGCTGCTTTGGTTTTTGGTAAGATACGTTTATATATATATGACGTGGCTCAGTCCCGTCTTTGTACAACTATGTTTCTATTAGAGGTCTGTAGACAGTATGTCTAGTTGGGTTATATGTGGCCTTGTCGGCTTTCAGTTTTGGATGTATAGTTGTCTATAGCAGCCTTGCCGGCTCGCCCACTGCATTCTGCATGTATACGTATATATGCCTTGATGGCAGGTTTCCTTCACGTATGTTATTTTCGTAATGCAACAGATGTTATTTAGGTTCATGTCTTAGATGCATGCTTAGGGGTGTTTGACAGTTAGTACTCAGGCACCCGTCACGGCCCATCTGTTTGGGTCGTGACATTTATTTATTCCACACCCACCAATAATTGCACCAACTCTAACTATAGATCTAGATCTAGAGTTTCCTTCTTCTATAAATACTTCTAAAAGGGCTGGAAAAAATATGAGAGAGGAAGTATATGTTTCCAATGGTGATGTCCAAAGAGAAGGTTCTGCTAGTGGAGATCTAAACAATTCCATTACACCCTCTGAAGAAGATGCAGGCACTAAGGAAGAATTTGAACTTTCTGATGATTATGGAAGATGTTCATGAAGAACTTAAGAAAGTAAAAAAGGAAAGAAAAAAATAGGAAAGAAAGACCTGATGGGTTTCTAAGTGAGGCTGGACTGGATGAAGGTTATGATGATATTGATAAAGAAATAAAAAATCTAAAGGATAAATTGGGAGGTGATGATGATGAGCCATATTATGACTCATCAGAGGCTGACAACTTTGCTAGTGAATCTGAAGGTGAAACTGTTAGTGATGATGAAGTAGTAGAAGAACACTTGAGGCTAAGGAGAAAGAGTAACATGGTAGTATATGATCCTTCTTGTGAAAAAGTTATTTGGGAGATTGGTCAAGTATTTGAAAATGTGAAAGAGTTCTGAGAGGCTTTGACCAAGTATGTTGTAAAGAAAGGGGTTCAACCAAGTATGCTATAAAGAAAGGGGTTCAACTAGATAAATATAAGAACGAACCAAGTAGTGTTAGGGTGAAGTGCAAAGATGGTTGTCCTTGGATGATATATGCTAGCAAGGAAGGTAGGAGTTCAAATTTCACAATCAAGACATATAATCCTAGACATAAATGCCATAAGACCAACATCAACTTTCTTTGCGATTCAAAATATCTAGCTAATCATTATAAGGAGAGGATTATTTCACAACCTACCATTAAAGGGTGGGGAATACAAGATCTTGTCAGGGAAGACTTTGGTGTGTATGTGGGTAAGGCTATTTGTTTAAAGACAAGAAAAATTATTTTGAAAGAATTCATGAGAGATCATATTGTTGAGTTTGGTAGATTTTTTGACTATTGAGATGTGCTTCTACAAACAAATTCTAGTAGCACATGTATAGTTAAGGTATCTAATTTAGAAGATGGTAAGAAAGAGTTTATAAGCTTCTATATATGCTTTACTGCTATGAAGAGGGGATTCATGGAGGGATGCAGAAAATGTATAGGACTGGATGGTTGTTTTTTGAAGGGGATATGCAAAGGACAATTATTAGTTGCGGTTACTAAAGATGGAAACAACCAAATGTTTTCCATAGCATGGGCCGTTATTGGGACTGGAAAAAAAAGGAAACATGGACATGGTTTATGAGGATATTGCAAGAGGACTTACAGCTTAGAGATGGAAATGAGATCACTATAATCAGTGACATGCAAAAGGTATGATACTATACTGTTATTTATTGCCTTTAGTGTTTGTATTGCTATTTATTATTTCTTTTTATTTTTCAAGGTTTGGTTAGTGCTGCTGAAGAAGTATTTCCAGCTTGTGAGCACAAAATGTGTATATTCTGTCAAACTTGTCAAAAAATGGAGGGGAATTGAGAGAAGGAAGAAGTTTTGGAGTTGTGCTAGAGCAACATATGAGGCCGAAATGAAAAAGAGGCTAGATGAATTAAATACATTGGGTTACAATATTGTTGAAGATCTTATTTCATACAACAAAGAAAGATGGTGCAAAGTCTACTTCAAAAAATTCTCCAAATGTGACAGTGTGGACAATAATATGTCGGAAAGCTTTAATGCCTAAATATTGGGAGCTAGACACAAGACAATTGTGTCAATGCCAGAAGAAATTAGAGTCAAGGTCATGATAAGGATAGCTAAGATAAGGGCCTTTGTTGAAACTTGGGTAGATGAGATATCTCCAATGGTACTGAAGAACTTCAACACTAATATGGAGAAGTCAATGAAATGTAAGATTCATTAGAATAGAGAGCACGACTTTGAAATTATGGAAGGTAGAATTAAGTTTATCGTTCACCTAGAAAGAGGATATTGTAGTTGCAGGTCATGGCAATTGAAAGGTATTCCTTGTGCACATGTCATAACAGCAATGCAGTTTAGGATGATTGATGCATCTGAGTCAATTGCATTATGGTACAGAAAGGAGACATATTTGCAAGCTTATTCCAATTTCATACAACCTGTTCCTAATATAATAATGTGGCCAGCTACATCAAATCCAAAGATTGATCCACTTACAGTTAGAAAAATGCATGGCAGGCCAAAGAAGAATAGAAGAAAAGAGGAAGGAAAAATTAAAAGAGTTGAAAAGTTATCAAAAAGAGGAATAGCTATGACATGCTCGATTTGCAAGTCCATTAAAAACAATAAAAGAAGTTGTCCTTCAAGGCCTGAAGCAACATCAGCCACAAGAACAACAGCATCCACAGGAAACACAGGTGTTACAACAGAGGTAAATTTTATATACCCCACTTACATTTAAATTATTGACATATTAGTATTTTAACTTGTTATATGTCAGTATAATGCTACCCAGCAGTCATCTACTGGAAGTACAAGAAAGAGAAGTGTTGACAATCAACAAGAATCTACAAGCAAGGGAGGTGAATCTAGAGCGAGCAGAAGTAAGTATAAGAGTCCAAGAGTTGTGTGGGGCATGGTGTATTTGTATCTAAGACTGGTTATAGTTGTGTTAATGTAAGTGTTTTGCTAGTTTACTATCACTTTTTTACTTCCATTGTCTTTTGGAGTTATATTTAAATTTTTCTCATAATTACAGCAAGGTTTGCAATGCAGCAAATTAGTTACCACACCTACAATGATAAATTCCGCAGAAGTTACAGGTGATACTGGGTATAAGCCTAACAAGTCTTTGAAGTGGAAAGGAAAGCCAGCTATTAGCCAAAGACAACTCCAAATAAAAAGTACTATGCATAGATTTCAAAAAAAAAAAAGCAAAAGCTATTAAGATTCAAACAACATCTCAAACTGGAAAATCTCCATCCAAAGAACCAACATAGATTTGTTCTATGATTAAGTTAGTTTTTTTGGTGTATGTTTGGTATGTAATCAGATAATTACAACTTTCTTTATGGTAGTATTTTGTGTAGTTGTCCGATTTTTTTGGTAAACAGCTCTTTTGTGATACTGGTAGTATTTTGTGTAGCTGTTCGATATCGGTAGTATTTTGTGCAACTGTCCGAATTTTTTGGTAAACAGCTCTTTGTGATATTGTCCAGATTTTTGTTGCTATCCAGTTTTGTAAACAACGTGTATCTATCTTACATTTCTTTCTTGTAAGATGTAAGAAAAGTAAAAGGCTTTGTGTGTTTTTAGGAGAGGTGACAACATTCTGGGACATCTTAGAAAGAAAAGCATTATATGAGTTTGGTGCTAAGTGTACTTTAGGCTGTGAATTACCAGAACATATCTTCCAATTATCTGCAGTGACTAGTGCATATTATCGAGGTGCAGTTGGCGCAATTGTTACTGAAAGAATTTGTAAAGGAAGGTCGATCAAGACAGTCTATGTAACAACCATAAACTAAGGAAAGAAAGCATTTGGCCACACAGTAGTATTGTGATTATTATGAAAAATAGGAATATTCATCTCATATAATATCTTATGCTTTAAATATTACAATTCATTCTACTATTTATCAAATATATAGACACCAATTAAAATTACATTAAATTGGACACCAACGAAAATACAATATCACATTGCATACTGCACTAATACATAGACTAATCTTCAATGCTCTTCCCTACTTCAGCTCTTGCTCTTATTTATTTCTCTTCTTCAACAAACCCAAAATAACAATATTAGCTTGATTTGAAAATTTCGGTTCATACCACTCAAAAAAATTACAAGCCTTACGATCTTTAACATGCACAAAAAACACAACTATCAATTTTTTTAATAAAAAAACCTAGAACAAACCCAACATAAATTATAATCAACTTAAACCTTCTAAACATTACTTTATCATACCTTATAGTTTTTACAACCAAAAAATCTTCTTCCCGGATTGTCATTTGACCATGAAATTTTTAAATGTGATGGATACCCACATTTACAATGTAGGTTCATCTTCAATGTCTTGGAAAAAACTAGGATGAAAATCAAGAATATCACTAAGAACTTTAACAATTAAAGAAGAAAATCAAGAATATTACAAAAAGAAAGAGCAATAGTTATGCTTCAATGGAGGAGTTTATAAAGAGGAAAAGTGAAATAATAGCCGTTGATGAGATCACTTCTCGTGCCATGTGGCAGCCGCGGAGGGGGGNGGTTAAATTTACTTATCCTAGTGTAGGGGGGTAATTCGAACTAGAGATAGTTTAGGGAGGAAACTAATAATTCCAGACAAGTTTAGGGGGGTACCAAGGCATTTTGCCATTATTATTTTTTATGGAGAAATAGTCCAGTGCCAGAACTTTGAAAGGTCGGGGTCAGCATTTTGAAGCACCAAAAAATCTAATTATCATCGGAATTTTCAGCCATAATACTGAAAAATATCTGGTCAGCCATCAGGATTTTGTGTGTTATGGTGATTGTTTGACCAAAAAATATAAATCTTTGGTTAAACTAATTAAATAAAAGGATAAGGGATTAATCCTAGTTAAAGATAATGACCTTAGATCTAAAATCGGTTCATGCGGGTAACGTGGAACCACGCCGAAGTGGATTCAATGCAATACACATTAAATATTACTGTTATTAATGAAATGAGAATAATGATAAGCAATAAATAATAATAAATGGCATTAAATGTAAATAGAGAGGATGATTCACCCAATATTGAATGAGGTGGATGCTTCCTCTTTCTGACAATGTGTTGCGACCAAAACACTCACGCAAGTGTACGCGATCTTCAAGTAATATAGTAATAAGTAGAGTATCGTTCCTACGAGGACTTGTGATGAACTTAACGACTGATGCAAACTCAAACAATTATCGATTCAAGCTAATTCATCACAAAATACATAAATAACCAATTTACAATTTAACTAGCAGACAAACAATAATACAACGCAAAGTTACTACGCCACTTATGAATTTTTCTTTTAACAATTAATAAAAGAGATATCCCGGGGTTATGGGCTTGCTAGATCCCGGGGTTATGGGCTTGCTAGAGATCATGCTATATTTTTAGCTTAAAAATGATTTATTGAATTATATGGGTTATTGATTATAGGGTTAATAATACCCATAAGAATCTGTCGATTTCTTATGCGCCTATTCAAGTTAAATTAATACCTATATTTCTATGGTATTAATATTAACTCAAATGCATTTACAAATCCTATTTCTCAAACAAACAAGGCAATTAAGTATAGTTCTATCTTAATCGCGAATCTTTCACCCGATGCCCAGGATCCAGATCTTGCTCTATTTGATTCTATATACAATCAGGAATTTTCTTTTTCAAGTTTAACTCAAGATTCGTGAATAGTATTTCACTGTTAGCTACGCAGTAAAATAATTAACAGCAGAATCAAATAAACAACCCTTAGCGATAATTTCAAGATCATCAATCTAAGTTTCAAACAACATAATCATCTAACACCCATAACCCCAGAATATTTGAGATTTTAGCCACTCATAATAATACAAACATCAACAATAAAAATCTTAAACATAATATGAGTAAATACTAGGAGAAGGTTTAGAAAAACTCTTTTAATCCTTGCTCCAAGTTGATGTTCCTCCTTGATTCTCTTCTTCAAGATGAATCTCCTTATCCTTTTTCTCTCCAAAAACAAGTCTCCCCAATAATGGCACTGCTTTTGCCTTTTTAATCGTGTAGAAAGGGGTTTTGACAAGTATGCCCTTTTTAGTCGGAAATAGAATAATTTTGTGATTTTTACACACCCGCGGCGTGTCCCGTGCGATGCGCGTACATAGATTGGACAGAGGCAGAATGCATTTTAACGGAGCAAAATAATGCAGTGAAAATATTTACACTACCGCGGCGCGGCAGTGCACTTTTTTGTGTTGTTGTATTTTTCATTTGTTTTGCTATCCGGGCTTGCTTTGCGACCCCCGAACACGATCTCGACTTGATTTATTTAGCTTTCACTCAAACTTCAAAGCCCCAAATCAGTCAAATTCATCCCAAATTTATTTCTTAAGTCGGATTAGCTTCCTGCAAGGCATAAAATATGATCTTAGTACAATTCATTATCATTTACGCTCAAACTTTTGTAAAATGCAATAATTAAAGTGTTGTTACAACGACTAAAATACGAGTTTTTAGCCTATGATCACAATGATGTAAGACAAACAACTATGGGAATATTGGAGGCTTTCTCGGATCTGATGTGGAAAGTATAGAATAAACAATGAACCGAATCTCTTTGGAAAAGCAGTATTTGTATTTATCTAGAGAGTCAACTTTTCAAGAGAGTTCTTATCATACAGAATAATACATGCCTCTTATCTTCGTTCTACCTTTCTATTTATATGGGACATGCTCCTAATCTGACCTAAAATACAAGTACAGGGAATATTCAATGGAATATTCTCCTAAATATCCTATTACAAAACTAATTGTTACTGCTGACGTAAACTTTGACATCGGCCATAACCAACAGCTTGGCAGTAAATTCCATTAACCTTTCATTCGACCTCGGCCTAATCACATCTTAGTAATTTCTCCTCGTGCCAGATTCCCTTAGTCAGATTTTGACCTATACAGTTAGTCCTTCCGTTTATCGAGGTTGTCTTTTGATCGACCTCGGTGAGCGGACTTCATTAGTCGCAGTCGAGAAATTAAGATGGGCAGGTCAAGTAGTAAAGATCACGGTCGAGATGGTAATGTGGCGCTTTGCAGGACATAGCTTATCGTGACATTGGTTTAGACTGACGTCACATCATCATCCGTCATTATTATGCATCTTCTCGATACGGTGCATAGACTCCCGTTCCCCTATCGTTTCGATCTTTGTGTATCGGTGGTTGATTTTATCGATTGGGGTGTCTGTGTTCTCTATAAATAGGGATTGGGAACCCCTTGTATGATCATTTATGTTTTCTAGCATTTGAATTTGCATATTTTCCTCCCTTATTCTTCCTGTATTCTCGCTCCCGTTGCTTCCATTTTCTCAGCTTTGTTCTCCTTTCTGATTTAAGCGATTTCTGCTACTTCTACCTCTTTCTGTTTGTATCTTCTGCATTTGCAACTAATAAAAATGGTTAACCCCTCTTGTTTCTGATAGGATTCCTAAACCAACTCCACTAGCAGTGAGAATGCCCCCTCACGATGATGAGGTTGTTATCACTGTCGAAGTCACCTGCGGACGAGCCTGAGCCTATGAAGTGCGAGATGGATGTAGCCCATTTTACCGAGCTTTGGGCCAAGTACAACATCCCTGCTCACATCGATATGGTCCCAGCTGGGAACAACGTGATCCATATTCATCATCCTGGGTATTGCGCATTTTACGCGTACCCGTTCCAAGTGAGCTATTCTCTTCCTCTTCCCCCGTTTGCGGAGGAATTCTGCCGCTACTACGACATCTATCCGGCTCAGCTCTCCCCCTATATTTATAAACTCTTCCTTATGTTGATAAAGTACGTGGAGCTGGCCAACCATGGAATTTCCATCCGCCATCTGCTACACCTTTTCGCGTCAAGCTTTCATCGAGGTACGATGATACACCTCCGCCACTGTAGGACCAAGGGATTAGTGGTAAATATGAACGATAAGGCAAATCGTCGGGTCTGGTTTAACTTCTTCTACATTAAGACCGAGCACGTGGTAGCGAACCCCAGTGGATTCCCTGAGGCGTGGAACTTCGCCCGTAAGTGTTATTGCTAACTGATTGCTTGTTGTCTCTCTTTGGTGACTTAATCATTCTTCTTCCTCTTTTGTGCAGCCAAGAAGAGGCCTCCTACGTTGGTCGTCGACATTCGCGACTGGGTGAGTCAAATTTTACCACACTCTGGGGATTCGCGAATGGTCGTCATTCAATAAGAAGTTTGGACGTAAACCTTTCGACCGATAAGTTATTCATTTCGATCTTCTGTTGCTTCGACTTTCATGGCCTTTTTTTTCTTTACTTCTCCCCTTCATGTAGTAGGGTCAGTTTTAACTTCTGTTTTTGTTGTCAAGTCGGAGGGCTGCGAGAAGAGTAAAGGTTTCTATCCCCGCTTTTCGTCAGTCGGGTGCATCGACCGGGTCTCTACTCGTTGCGACTGCAAGCAAATCCGTATTGATTGTTGCTTCTTCTCAGACCCCGGCAGG